GCCTGTTGCTGCCGGCGGCGATGGTACGTCTTCCCGAGGAAGGCGTCCATAACAAAGACAAACAAACCAGGGAAAAATAAATAAAGAAATTATTCAGATTTTCAAAGATGCAGAACAAAAAATATTTATATTTAACAAATGCATATCTTTAATGTATTATACTATACATATAAAACATCCTAACTTCTTACTTCAAACCTTTTAAATAAGAACGGATTAAATGTATGTATATATTTTTTGGTAATCAACAAAAATGTATATGTAGACAATCTTTTACCATAATATGTTTATTTGACCAAACTTTTAGACATGTCCCTTTTACTCTTGATTCCCAATTGTAAACAAAAATTTTGCAGACATGTATTTACTACTTACGGGCTATCATTGAAATTATAAAAGTTATTAGCTAACTGATAATGCAACTACAAATTAGAAATGTCAACTAAATATGATTTTTTATAGGTAATAAAGTGATTAATTAAGAATGATTAATATGAGCCAACAAAATATGTTATTGAACTAACTAGGTGATGTAGAATGGAATAGGAATCCTATAAATTCCAAACCTGGTGGTGGGTTTGTGGGGTGAAGGTCTTTGGTTGATTAAGGATGAAGAATACAGATGGAAAAGCAAGTAGATAGTTTGCTGTCCACCAAAAAATGGGCAATAGATTAGAGAGAGAGAGAGAGAGAGAGTTACCGTTATCGTAAACAGCAAAGAGATAGATCATTTAGAAGAAGCAGGTGAGAGAAAGGAAAAAAGGAGAAAATTTCTGGCAACAACCAGAATTCACTAAACCAAACTTTTTCACCAAACCAACTTTTTTAGTTCCAATTACAATGACCCCATCTATAGACTCAACTATGAACTCAGATGCCCCTTTATAGACTCCAATTTGGACTGGGAAACTGACCCAAATCAACTTCTAGTCTTCTATTGCTTTAAAGCTAAGACAAATCAACAAGTTGAATAAGGACTCTAACTCCCATAACAACTTTAATAATCCTTCCCTAATCCTACTAAACTACCTATGGAGACCGCAAAAACTACTAAAACATAGTAAACCACAATTTTACCATAAATGGTAATTGCAAGAGTTAAAATAAACATTAAGTCCACAAATTTACCATAAATAGTAATTTCAAAACAACAATAAATTTCTAGAAAGCTCAATACCCTATTTGTAACACATCCAAAAAATCAAACAATATCAATATATCCTATCACCCAACCAATTGGTGGCTTGTCATGGGATTCTTATTGAAGTTAAGTCATTCCTACAATTGGGTGGCTGAAGAAAGGAGAGGGGGTGATTTGGCAATACATGAATGATCTCAGGCAGTTCAAGATGTTGTCAAGAGCTATGAACATTTAAGTTAGACGGGTAAGGTCTGCTAATGGATTGGCTAATGGATTAGTTAAGTAAGGGGTGCATAGAAATCACTTGTATTGGGCTCAATTGTAATGGGATGGTGGGGTTCTTTTGATGTAAATGGTGTTCAGATTTAACAATTTTTTTTTGTAACCTTTTACTTAATTATTTAAAAAAAAAATTGTCAGGTAGCCCTTCTTCCTCTTCAACTTTATCTTGTGTCACAACTTCATGGCCAAAGGGCTGCTGCCTATTGCAACTCCACTCATATTCGCAAATCGGCTTGTGTTTCACAGCAATCAATGTGAAAGAGAACTCTTTCCACTATGTTAAAACAGCAAGATAGATCACCTAGAAGAAGAAACGGTGAAAGAAAGGAGAAAAAAGAGAAAATATCTTGGCAACCAAAACTCACTAAACCAAACTTTTTGTAATTATAATGACTCTAATATAGACTCAACTTATGAACTCGGATGTCCCTTTATAGACTCCAATTTGGACTAGGAAACTAACCCAAATCAACTTCTAATTGCATTAAATCCAAGACAAACCCATAGGGAACTTGCACAAGGACCCTAACTCCTAAAACAACTCTAATAACACTTTCTTAAGCCTACTAAACTAACTTAATGTATAGGTGAGAAATTACTAAAAATAGCAAATCACAATTTTAATTTAAATAGTAATTATGAGAACTACTATAAATAGGTAAGCCCAAAAGTTACCATAAATAGTAATTTCGAAATAACAGTAAATTTCTGGAAAACTTGATACGCCCACATCTAGAAAACATATAATAAAACTCAAAACAATATTTACCCACTGAGCTGCCCTAATAGTTAGTTATACACTTAATAATTGACTCCTTGCTCCTCTCCTTCCCCATGAAGATTCTAGTGCTCCTTTCTTCCCATATTGTCCAAATAAGCGCAGCTCTTTTTGCATGTCTTTGCTCTCTTATATTAAATTTTGTCGTTCCTCTGATTTAAAAATGAAAACTTCTTGTTTTGATTGGACAAAAAAGCAGAATAGAAAAATCCAAGGCATTCTGAATTTTAAATAGGGTTATCTCTCACGTTGAAGTTCATCGGAATTTGCCACTAGTAACAAAAAATGAAGGATAAGATTGTGTAGAACTTCTACAGTTCTACAGCTTGTATTTTGAAGGCTTTCCCTCCATTTCTTGGAGGCTATACTTGGCATTCTTAAGAGAGAAGAATGGACAAAGCAAGGATGCTTCTTTGACTTCATAACTAATTGTAATTTTTTGGATCAGTAACGAAGTCCTTATTAAACTTTATGAAAGAACAATTTACACATACATGTGCCAAGCACCCATCTAATGGGTCCACCTTTGCTGCCCACTCTTTGTGACTTCTGACTGTGAATTGGATAAATGCATTATAAAGCACTGGCCAATCTAGAGGTCTAGGCACAAAGGAAAATAAGAACTTGTTGCATGATTGCATATAGTTCTCTTTTCTTCAGGTAAGCTAAATAATTGGTTGATAAGTAAAAATTCAAGAAATAACACTGACAGATTACTAAACCATTAGTTTTTCTTTTCCAAGAACAGATAGCTCCTAAGAAAGCTTATTGAAGAAAGAGCTCCTGATAAAAAACTGTTGGACAATAATTAAGCACTAACATCAGGATAATAATTTCCCAATGGTTCCTGTTACTAATCTGGAGAGAGAAAGAGATGATAAGATGTTGCCTATGTTCTACTGCATACTGCAACCAAGTCAAAAAGATATAAATCAAGAACATTAGCAATAACAACACGTGGACTGCTAAGCAATATTTGTCAAGAGAATTGTTTTACCCACCAAAAGTAAATATCTGATGTGAAGAATAGACAAATATATTCAAATGGCCTAGTTGTAAAAATATGGAGAGACAAGAGAGATAAGCATGCTAAAGGGTTTTCCCTATCGGGGAGGGGGTTCAAATATTAAACCCAACTATGCATGCACAAATACACCACTGGCAGATGAATTTTTCACAAGAGAACAACAGCTGTAGAACTGAGTATCTTTAAAATATTAATACTTCACCAACATATGGAGATGATGGAGGACAAATACTTACATATTGCAGTTATTCTGCAGCTCCTGGGTAGATAAGTTGGATGATGCATTTTGAGTAGCAGACTGATATTTCTGAGCTGCTGCCCCAAGCTGACTAACCTGCACAATGGAAAACAATAATCAATTGAGCATAGACTGCTCAACACCTCAACCTCCAACCACACACAGTATCCATCCCAGCCTCTCAGCACAACTCACATCAAACAGAACCATTAGAACAAGGGTGAACCTAACATGACAAAATCATTATTGAAAACATTATTTTTCTGTGAACCCTCTCCATTGCATTTTTATTTAAGGGTTTCTCAACTGAGAAAAAGAAGAATGAATATGTTTTCCAAAGCAAGTCAATTAATGGTGCAAATAATGCAAAAACGAATATAGTTCTTAAAAGGATAAAAAAGAATAGTGCACATTTAGAAATATTGCTAATTTGAAGAAAACAAAAACATGCACACACCTACAAATACATGCTTAAATACGTGTATTATGTGTGTGTAAAAAGAGTAAGAGTCTGAGTTCCACAAATGCAGGAGCATCCTTTTAGATGACACTGTCCTTTATCAGAGACGATCAAAGGTTCAATTGGTGTTCCTGGAACATGTACATCTCCAGAGGGAAATTCTGGCTTCTTTAACTCTCGGTAAAACTGTTCTTAAGAGCATGGCAGACTTTTTTTATTGAAAAACAGAACATGACAGACATTTTGGCAGATTGGTATAAATCAATGTTGATTTGGGTGCATCTTTTGCAACAGATTCATCAGGTACAAATCCATGTCTAGTGAGCACAAGGCAAGTAACTGAAGTACTGTAATTATGTGCATATGGACGACAAGTAATTAGTAATTACAAGCACATAGTTTAAGGTAACCATATCAATGTGCAAACTGCTACCTAGAATTAGGATGCATGTTAGCAAATCATATGAATACACTATGATACATCAAGAATATTAAAATGTGTCATAGCCACAAGAAGATATAACAATTGAAACTCCCAAATTTTGCTTTATATACATTTTCAAAGATAAACTCCCAAACAGATTTGAATGTAAGCCAATGAGCTATCATATATAATCCAAACAATATATATTAATCAAGAAAAAAAATTGAGTTTCATGGTAGATATCTCCATCCAACCTATGCTTATTTTATTTTGATCAATCCACCAATGATTTCACTTGTGAAAATCACCCAAAGCATGAAATAGAATTTGGACCACTGATTTCAATTAAGAAAATCACCCAAAGAATGAAGTAGAAGTTGGATACTAAATGCTAATAGATATATAAGTTTGTAACAATAAAAATGAAATCCATGACTGTGGGACTATTTTGCATGGAACGAGGAGAAAGAACATGCTAGACTGCAAGAAAAAGGAAATAGAGAAGGTGAAGAGACTGATGTCCATGCCATTCATGATAAGTGCCCATGATACATTATATTAAAAATGAAATCCATGATGGTGGGACATTTTTGCATGGAACAGGGAGAAAAAACATTTAGACTGAAACAAATCGACAAAGTGAAGAGACTTATGACCAAGCCATGCATGATATAAATGCCCATGACACATTACAGTAAAAATCAAAAGGAACAAGTCCAAGCATTTTTGAAATAGAAAAAAGAAGATGATAATATAAGAAAAGTCAGCAAACATGAGGAGCTACTTCAACAAGCTTACATTATCATAATTGGATGTAAAATGTAAAAGAAAACATCAAAACTGTAACTTTCAAAACCAAAATTCCCTACATAACTTATGAAGATCACAACTTTACAAGTCCTCCAAGGGAAGCTTGAAGTTATCAAATTTGGAGTAATTTATTACCTGAGGTATGATCAACCTCCGAGGGATTAGCTCCTCATGACGCCGAGCACAAAATTCCCAGGAGCAAATCTAGATGGGAAAAAAATTAAAAGAATGATGGTAAAGAATGCCTCTAAATAAAGAGTTCGCTGCATGCAATGCAATTTTACCAAGGCTCAAGTGTCTAACCTTTAAATCTTGAGAAAAAACAATCCGAAGTTGACCATCACGAACTACACGTAATTGCTCAAATACACTCTCCTGTATTGCTTTTCCATAGTCCAGGACAATTTGACCTTGTGCATTCTGATATTCACGAGGCATATCAACATAAAGAAGTTCTTCCAATGTGCCACTATCATACTTGATTTTGCACAGTCTAGGTAAAACTTCTACAGTCGTTTCTGATAGTAGACAAGAAAAATATGAGATAGGATTAAATTTTCCAAATGCAAGCACTGCAGCAAAAAATATTTGCATGCTAGATTCCAAATCAGATATCCTCAAGACAACCAAATTTAGGTATTCTAAAGGTAAAATTTCTTCAACCAAGAAGAACAAATACATACCAAAACCCCGGCCAGGCTTGCGATTGCATATTTCACAGTGCCATACATCCTGTGAAATATCAAAAGTATTTGTTAATATTTTTATTGATAAAATATTTGTTAACACGCAGGCAGAGATGAAACCCATTAAAATTAGTTGTAGATACAACTATATCAAAAATAAACAACAATAACACCTGGGCAGGGGGAAATATGTGCAGATATTTGACATACAAGAAAAGGAAAAAAAAAAATGTTTTGGTTACCAATCTAGAGAGATAAAGAGACCAAAATTTATCAAAAGTTAACCTTATTCAACAAGAACTACATCAATTTGACCAGATTACCAGTGATTCTATCCCCTAAATAGAAGCACAATATCACCAAAAAGCAACTAAACTTGCCACTAGGTTTTTGGCTTTTTTGCTAGCAACATACCTGAGGAAAAACACCAGTTGTTTGCCGACCACTTCCATACAGAGAAACACACCACCTTTTCTTGGCATTGGGTGCAAAATACTCAGCCACAAATTTCCTCCAGAATTCAATGTTGTTATCCTGCATCATTAACAAGATAATTACAAACATGAACTTGCAATAGCATCACACCATGTGATAAAAGCTTCATTTCAGGAGTGAACAAATCTTACAGCAGGTCTATGTTGTTGATGATACATGTAGTGCGTCAGTCGACGAGCACATGTCCCAGGTTCATAGGTAGGTTTAGTTGCAGATCTTACAGGCAAATTCTGCTGTTGAAACTGCTGGTGTAACTGGGATCGTTGCTGCGGGAGTGATTTGAGGAGTTGTTGTTGTTGCTGCTGCTGCTGCTGTTGAAGCTGCAATAGCCGTTGTTGTTGCAAAAGATTAATCTGGGCAGCAGCAGCCTGAGAAGTCTGCCTGGACATTTGAAGGAACTGTTGCTGCTGCTGTTGCTGCTGAAGAAACAAGGACTGATCTGAATGTTGTGGCTCCATTTTGACCGGCCCCAGATTTCTCAAAGTCTGGATTTGTTGTGGTTCCAACTTCACTGGACCCAAGTTTCGCAACGACTGCAGCTGTTGCGGTTGACCATTCTGATCACTAGCCATCTGCGGCTCCAACTTGACAGGGCCAACATTGCCCAGCCCACCCCGAATTGATTGATATTGCTGCTGCTGTTGCTGGCTGTGAGGAACAGAGAATTGCTGTAGTGACTGCTGGCTGTGCTGGAAATTCTGAGACTCAAGTTGTTGAGGCTGCTGTTGATCCGGTGTCAGCTGATTTCCAGAAGGGTTTGAGAATTGCTGTCCTTGGCCTTGACCAGACGAACCAGGATTTGTTGTGTTTGATGATGCAAATGTCGCAGGTGACGTAAAACCCATGCCATTGCCTACGCCAGTAAGTGGATCAGACTCAGCCCCTGCATCAACACCCCCACGATGGAGACCCCCCGTAGCAGAAAGCCCAGAGTTTGAACCACCATTACCATAAGACTGATTGAGGAGGGAAGAAACATTAGGCATGTTACCAAGCAAGTTCATGTTGTTATACTGAGTGCGTGGTGAGACGAGAGAAGGAAATGTTGTCTGTGAAGGGACTGGACCCCCTTGAGCTCCCAGAATGCCAGAGTTTGAACGTAGCATCGAAGATGCGACAGACTGGGCACCACCAATGGGAGCCGGAGGTCCCGATGGCACCATCTTCGTGAAAGTGCAAGCACAAACTTCAACTTACACCACAGTCAGGAAATGTAGCTCAGAACGGCATGAATTACAGATTAGCCCCACAAGATACAAAGAGAACAGCAGTTAGGCAACAAAGACCACAATACCATAGGTCTCGCTCAACCCAGCAGGTTTGTTACCCTCACATCCAGTACTTCAGACCTCACGGTTCTCATTATCCACCAATAGAAGTGTAGAACCCTTGAGTCTAATCGAATAGTGTTCAGAAGTAGTGAACAGCGGATAAGAAAGAAGAGAACTAGAGCCGAGAAGCAAGCTTTGATTCTGAACATTCTAAAACTCCGGCAGTCCACAGAAGGAACAATCTCTGGCCAGCAATTGCAATACTTCAAATGAATTATGAATCCCCCGATTGACAGAACCACGTAATATCATCATACAAAAAGCCGTCCCCTTCCTAAGGATGAGAAAACAAATCGATCTTCTTCAATCAAATGCAGAACCTAGATGATCAATAACACACTTCAGTCTAAACCCTCATCACAAGCATCAAAACACTAAGCCTCAAAAAATTACAGAAACATAAAACACTACTACCGATCTTCCAACACTAGTGCAATCAAACCCACAAACAAATACAAATCCAAAAACCTCGAGAACTCAGCTGAAACCAGTGAAAATAAAAACCACTTCCTGTCAAAAAACAAACCAACTTATTAAACAGGACTTCTCCCACAAAACCAGAACACGAAAATGCGATCTTTGCCCCAAACATCAAAAACCCACACTGAAACAGAGATCATTTACACTACACCCATAGACAGAAACACTAAAATCATCAACCCCCGGCGAAAACAAACCAAAACGCCCTCGATCAAGCCCTAAATCACAAAATCCAAACTACACCAAGTCTCCAGACAATTAAACAAGTGAAATCCACAGACTCCTACACTCTTAAACTGAAGCTCAACCCGAGAACAAACCTTAGCAAGAAGAGCTAGATTCGAAGGACTTACACCGGGTTGGAATTCAGCAACCACAGGCTCTGAAACTCCGACTTTCGACCGAACAAACTGAAACACAAACAATCAAAAAAATAAAAGAAATAAGAACAATTTTCCTTCTTCCCTTCTGTCTTCTTCTCTCTTCTTCACTTACTTTAACCATTAAAATAATCTTTCTTTTCTCCTAGGGTTTTTTTCTCCTCTGTTCTTTCCAAGTCGCCTTTCTCTGTATCTATTCTCTCCCAGACTTTCTTCTGTCTCTGAGTTGTTTTTTCATTTTTTTTTCCCTTCGCTTCTGTTCTTCGTTCTGAGCGTTAGAGAGAGAAAGAGAGAGGAGAGAGAAAGAGAGCGCGTCCTAGCGGACGTCAAATGTGAATTCGATCGGATTGAATTTGCTTCATTCCCTTCTTCGCCATCTTTCTCCAAATAAGTCAAATCTTCTTCCGCTCATGAGTTGCATGTTATCCATGTCGGCTCCCTCATCATCATCCATCATGCTCCATCCAAAACCGCCTTTCTGGTTCTACACTCGCTTCTGCACTCGCCATTCCGTGTGTACACGTCCATAGTTGGGCGCTTTGCTTCGTAGCCTTGGCACTACACATTCTCTTGATGACTATGCTTTTGCCACGTGGCAAGGGCGATAATAGTGATTGCGAAGCCGCCCGCGCGTGAGGTCCTTCGTTCCCACCAATAAAAAAACATGAAAAAAAGAAAACCCGCGACAGGATTTCGCAGGTGAGGCTGCATTATTGCTAAAGTGCCCACGTTCTCAGATTGGAATTACGATGACTGCCATTTATTTCTAGAAATGGAACGAAATCTATTTAGCTGGATCATTGGATGCAAGTTGCAAGCTGCAGGCTCGACTCGGTTGTTACAAGAGTCAAAAGGACAAAGGGGTCGGACCGGGTCAAACCGATTCAATAGGAAGGTTTTGGTAGGAGTGTAATTCGGGTTGGCCCGAGTTGATATTTTACACCGATTCGGGCAAGGTCCATTTAATTTTTTGACAAAAGCCCAACGCAAGCCCTCCCAATTTGCACTCCCTAGGTTTTATGCATACCTTGACCAAGTTTGGCTTAAACTCATTTGGTCAGCAAAGAACAAGGCCGAGTCATCCAAACAAATATGATTTTGAGCAAGTCTCATTCGGGTTCCATTAGATGAACCTTTTTTTTTTGGTAAAGATTAGATGGACCAGTTTGTTACCCGGAAAAAAGAAAAGATGGACCAGTTTAGCAAAACAAGTTACCCATAAAAAATGAAAAAAAAAAAAGAAAAAAACAATATACCCATATGGAAAATAAATAAGTGTTAAAAATATATAACTGTTTCTGTTTTTAAAAGCAAAACTAATCATGTTGTCGAACACCCCCTTAAACTAATAACTAATAATTAGTCAAGGACCCATTTACGAGGGTTGAGCTGAAGATTCAGTTAAATTGGTTCAGTTACTTTAAAGCATTCTGAATAAACTATGCAAAGGAAGTTGTGGAACCCTTTAACATGATAGACTAATAGCTGATTTGGGCTCTTTAGATGTTTCAGCCCCACAGCTTATTGGCTGTCCAACAAATTGGCAGTAACCACAATCTTCATCTTACTAAATTGTTGTAATTTGTTAGATTTAAGATTGGCAAATTAAGGTTTACTGATTTTATCACTATTACATGTACAAAGTTATGGGGCTTTTGGGGAGCCATATGACACACACACATGCGATCACGATTGCATGCATACATACATACATACAACAGGTTGGAAAATTTATATAATATTCATGGTTTAAAAAATGATGACATGTCAGATTCAGTTTGAACAAGGCCCCAACTCTAATGCCATGTATACTAAATCATAACCCTAGCCCAAATTTCAACCTAATCTGACCCGACCCAACTTTTTTGGGGGGGAGGGGGGGATTGGTTTTGGATTAATCTGGCTTCTTAAAAACTAACATCATCTTGTTTGGCTTTAAAAGTAATACTATAGCTCTATAAGGTTGTGTTTGATTTTTATAGGTTTGTATAGGTTTTCTACCTTTTTTTCTGCAAACCAAATACGGCCTAAATGTAAACATGTGACAAGTATATGGTAAATTTAAAACCAAATATTTAATAGGTCCACATAAGGTGTTTTTTAGGCCAAACATTCAATACAGTGTGATAAACATCATCCTGTTATTTACTTGTTTTAGCCAATTCATGGAGCATCACAAAGGGAGCATACGGATAAAATTAATAATACATGCATACATATATGGTGCATGTTTACCCATGATATATGAATAAATTTCGAGTTCACATGTTTCATTAGAAATATGAAAAATTTCTTCCACCAAAATAGGATAAATATCCCAGAAGTTTTAACAAAAATAGTTTTCTAGTTTTCCCACTTCTTTTGTCCTAATTTAGCAGGGAAAGTGTGATGCATAGGATTTGTGAAGGGAAAGTGAAATGATAGAAACAGATAACTTTTATAACGAAGAAATGCAGTGTTTTTAAAATAATTAATCTTTATTTTAGTGATTTGTTAAAAAAACAATTTAATAAGTTGGATTAATTATATTAATAATTTTTAATAAAAAATAATAAATTACTACTAATTACTTAATAGAATAATTTTTCATATTATATGTTAACGTTCTATTTTATTTATTTTACTTTATTAATGATTAAATGTGTTACAAATACTTACGTATTAGTAAATATATAAAATTATGTTGTAGTCATAATTAAATTAATCTAAGCCCGAGCATGGGGTTTAAGACTTTAGGTTGGGCTTTGTTTGTTCCTCAACTTGATCCAACCCCCCAAATTGCACCCCCTAAGAGCAATGTGACATTCATAATTAGATTAAACGAAACCAAGTACAACTCCTGCATGCATTATTTTTTAGTTTTTAATTATTTCTAGATGAAAATTATTAATATTGAAGCCAAATGAGCTATAGGGGATGGGATACCCCCATTATGTAGCCTAATGAACAAAAATAAATAAAATAAAAAAAGAAAAGATCTCAAGCCATACTTTGATAGTGTATTAACAGTTTTTAAAGTTGCCTGGCCTACCCCACCCTTACACCCTAAGGGTAATAATATTTGTTTGAGCCTGAATTAAAATTTTTATTTAATTCTAATCTATTATGAAAAATATATAAAGATTTATTTATATATTAATATAAAAATTGTTATCTAAATGTATATGTATATAAATTTCATATCAAGGTTAGGGGTTGCTTAGCTTGGGCCCTACCCGCTAAGGTTGTCAATGAATTTCGAAGTTCCACTACCCAAATCGACTCTGAATCCGATTATTGGTATGCAAACTCTCTCGGCTTTGTTGTACAGAGAGGAAAACTCTACAAGACTTCAAGGAATTAAGCTTGCAAAGGATGTAGATCCAATCACTCATCTTTTATTTGTCGATGATTGCTTCATTTTTTGTAAGGCAGATCCAGAGTCTTTCCTCAACATCCAATCCACCCTCCGGATGTTTGAAGAAATCTCAAGCCAACATATCAACTTTGCTAATAAAAATCATCAACTACAGTACCAGATACTTAGGGACCTGGTTGGCAGATGGAGAAGGTGGTAAGATGAGCACTCTTAAGCACCTTGCAGAGAATGTGTCAAATAGGATAGACCTATGAAAAGTGAAAACTCTCTCTCAAGCTGGGCGCACCACTCTTATCAAAGCAGTTACACAAAGTATCCCCCTGTATACTATGCAAACAAGCTCTCTACCGACTAGTCTCTACAAGAGGGTAGATAGGCTTCAAAAGAATTTCTGGTGACATGGCAGAACGAGTAAAGTAAGTGGCCGCAATTTGAAATGGAGTATCATTTGTTCACCCAAAGCCATTAGTGGTCTAGGGTTAAGAAGATTCTCTCTTATAAATAAAGCTCTCCTTCTAAAGTTTGTATGGAGGCTCCTTAACCACAGTGACAGTCTTTGGGCTCAACAAATAGAAGCTAAGTATGTGAAGGGTAAATGTTTCTTTGACTTGAAAGCTAAGGATTCGGACTCATGGTGGTGGAAATGTATCATCAAAATAAAAAATGAGTTGAAATCTCACTTCTTCTACAAACTAGGGGATGGAAAAAAAATCTCAGCTTTCTTGGACCCTTGGATTCCCCTATTGGAGAATAACACCCCTATTCGAAGAACTGCAAAGTGGAACCTTCACAAATAAAGGTATGTGATCTAATCACTAGCAGCCTTTCCTGGAATACTAATTACCTTTATCAATTGTTTGATGACAACAATGTAGAAGCCATCCTTAGTATCCCCCTTAGGCCTTCTCCACAAAGTGACAAGTTGCTTTGGAAAAACTCTAAGAATGGGGATTTCTCGGTGAACTCAGCTTATTATACTCTCATCCAATTCATGCTCCCAAACCAGGCAAGTGCTACTGGATGGTCCAGAATATGAGCAGCCCTGTGCTCCCATAGATGTCAAATCTTCATGTGGAAATTTCTTCATAAGTCAGTTCGAACCAAAACATCCATCTGGAGCTGTAGAAGAAAAGATGATATCTGGCGCACTTTTTGTAAGTCATCCCCTGAAACTCAAAATCATCTTCTGCTAGAACGCCCTGTAGCTTGGGCTGTTTGGATGCAAGCCCAAGTTGGGCTCATGCCAAAGGCTTTTCTAAACTCGGGTCAAAGCAATTTGTTGGATTGGTGGTGGCAGTACAATAACCATATCAAGGATAAAGCTCTAAAGTATAGTTCGCAAAAATCTTTGCAATTTTCATAAGTCTTTGGGATGCAAGAAACCAAATCATCTTCAATAATGGGAAACCAAATCCTCTAACAATCTTAAGGAAAGCTAGTAACTACCATACTTTCAAAACATCTGGGCCCCTACGCTCATCTCCTTCTTGTCCAAATAATGCATGGGACTTGCAAGATGTCCTGCACTCGGAGCATCCAATCATTATGGTGGATAGATCATGGGACACTATCACACACAGTGCACCAACTGGACTCTTTATGTTTTCACATCGATCTCCTCTTCTCCTTCCAGAAAGACAACCTTACATGGCAGGATCATCAGCAGCAGCTGAGCACTGGGCAGTCATAAGAGGTATTTGCAAGTTTTTTTGTATTGGCTACAAAAGTGGTATTTTGCTATCGGATGCCAAAGTTTCTCTGTTAAAGCTAAAAGGAACTAATAAAAACATCACATGGGAAGTTCAAGCTTTATACGACCACATCTTTGACCTTCTATCTTTTTTTGATGACATCAAATTATTGTATGCAAATAGGTTGGTTGTTAAGCCGGTCCATGATCTTGCAAGACAGGCCTAAAAAAACTCTTATTATCAAGTCTAATCCCCCTTCGTCCTTCCATGTATGTTTTTTGGATCATTTTAAAAGGGGGCTCCTAATGTACCCATGATGTTTGTAGTGGTTCCTTTTATTTTGCCAA